AGACATACAAAGACCAAACTAAGTATGCCTGTTCTTCAGGTAACTAGGATTCTACTGGCTGCTTGTAATTCCAGAAAAAATAGCCTGTACCAACCAATTGTGGATCACCAAATAGACGTCTTGGGTAGCAGGTAGAGTTACATTTCACCTGCACAGGAAAAGGGAAAAGTCATGGGAAAGAAGTCTCTTGGGATCACAGGGTGACTTTGATCTGAAAGGACACTGACATTTAAATACAATCGTTTGTGGCACAGCTTCATTCTGGATGGTACCACCTCTGAGGTTTAGCAATGAATCACAGATTCATAGAATCATCTGTGTTGGAAGGGAGCTCTGGAGATCATCCAGTGCAACTCCTCGCAAAGCAGGTGACACAGGAACAAGTCCAGGTGGGGTTCTAAAGTCTCCAGAGAGGGAGATGCCAACACTTCCCTGAGCAGCCTGTTCTAGTGCTCTGCCACCCTCAGTGAAACAAAGTTCTTCCTCATGTTGAGGTGAATCTTACTGTGGTTTAGTTTATGGCCGTTCCTCTGAGTCCTGTCACTGGACACCACTGAAAAGAGTCTGGCACCAGTTTGTTTTTCCACAGCAGCAAGACTTCCAAAGCAGAGATTTGACTTCATAGTTCATGGATCCACACATCTTGACATAGTTGTTCTGTGCCTATTGGGTGTTCCAGCGGATCACAGAAAGAGGGCATGGCACAGGAGACCAGCACCTCTCTGGCTTATCTTACCAGATGAGATATCCAGGGCATCTAAAACAGCCTCAGCTATCTTCAGGCAACCAGATCCCACCAAGGTTGTCATATTTCAAAATTCCTTGTTGGCTAACCCAAATAAACACACTGGCTGCCAACAGCATTTCTAACTGAAACCTGCTGTCCTGCCTCCTGCTCCTTTTTTGTTACCTTCACCAGTGTTAAATCAGGGCTAATAACAGTGGTCCTAATCCCCTGCCCCTTTTGAGGGCAGATACCTGCTGTGAGTCATTGCAAAGTATTTGTCCTTTCTCTCCTGCTAGAGGCCAGCTTCAGTGAGAGATGAGGGTCCAGGCTAGTGTCCACATCTGCCGGCCCCTTGCCACTGATGCCCCTCAAGAAAAGGCTCCTTTAGGAGCTTTGGAGAAAGCCACCTTGCAGCTCTGTGTCTGAGAGACACCAGCTCTGTAGCTGACAGGGCATTTACAGCAGCTAAGGGTGGAAATGGCTCCATGTGCTGCCTTTGCCATACAATATCATGCTTTGTCCTGTGGCAGCTCAGGATAAACATAGCCATATGTGGGACCCATGGATGACCAAGAAAAGCATGTGCCAAGTAAAATTGCTTCTGCAGCTGGTCCCTGTGCCAGTCAGCCTCTGAGGATATGTGTAAGGGGATGTAAACATGGATGCATGGGGAGTCACCTGGGATATTGTCTTAGCAGCAGAAGTAAAGCCTGAACTATACATATGAGTACTCACCCTGTTCTTTGAGTATTTGTTCTATTCTCCCTGAGCTCTTCATGCTTGTGGCTTCCCTGTTAGCCAGATCCAACCTGGTTTGAAGTTTTCTCAGGTTTCTCTATGCAGTCTGCTGGCCCAACCTCTCACTAGTTTGCTGCAGCAGAAAACAAACAACCTGGGAAGTAGCTATTCAAGGCAAAACTGGGTTGCTGCACATTTATGGCCAATTAGCACGTCACCATTCTGCCTCCACAACTAAAGTGAATGCACCTAAGAAGTTCGAACAACCTCAATTAAAGCTGCCATATGACCCAAACCTTTTGTTTCTTGGCTGAGTGCATCCTGTGATGGTGTTGCTGAATTTATACTCTGCAAGGCTATCACACTCTGAGTGACTTGGGTTTCTAATGTCTGCTCTAATGACCATGATTTCCCTCTTAATTTGTTCCCTTCTCTTCAACTTTATTGGAAGCACATCTGGACTTACAAAGTATTTCGTTCCAGCCCCAGTTCCTCCTTCAAGGACTCAGGGACGATGACACATGGCTATGCCATCGACCTTGGCAGGTCTGTGAGGAGGTGCAAGTGCCTGGAAGCATCCTTCCCCTAGGGTGTCCAGTGCCCTGACAGTGCCAAACAATGCACCTCAGTGAATCTCTGGCTGAAGTGACTCAGCACAGAGCCAGTTTTCAACTTCTAAAGGTTACACAGTTTTCAAAATACCTGCCTCACCCTCCATCTTTTGGAAGGGGGAGGGGTTGGGTGGTGGGTGCTGTAGAGACAGAGCTTGGGTTCAGGGTCCCAGCTGCACAACTTTCTGATATCTGCAACCAGTTTTTCACAAGTGCAAAAAATCCCTCTCTGTCCCTGCATTATACATCTGTATTTTGCATTTCAGAACCTCTACCCCTTCCTTTGGGTCCCTCTCTGCACATATGTCTGATTTGTAGTATCCCTTTGTCAGAATTGTAAGAGCTTCAGAGCAGCGATCATGTCTCCATCAGTGTCTTGACAAGACATTTACATGATAGGTTGGCTTAAAACCACTCATCTGCAACTGAGCTATCTTAAGCTTTTGGAAGGAATGAACAATCTGATTCCTTTGAAAAGCTTTTGTTCGTGAAGAATGTATTTCCTAACACTGATTTGAATTTGAAGTCTGTCAGTCTCAAATATTTTTTAATAATTAGTTTATTATTTACATATTTGCGGGGTTAGCTTGATTTTTAGTTTCTCATCCTTCCCGGTACTACAGGTACACATATTTGCACATACATGTGCAGGTGAGAGAAACTTCCTTCATTACATGTACATATATAAATGAATGAAGGAAGAGCTTCTCACTTATTTTCTTGGTCGCTACAGCAAGGGTTACTAGGAAAAGAAGAAAAAAATACTGTGAGATTCATAGTAAAAATCACTAGAGTGGACAACTTTTTAACTAAAAAGAGCTCTCTTATGGCCACCCTGGCTGAGCTTTGAAGTATGTCCTTTCACATACTTTGCCTCTCCCCCATCCTCTTACTCTGTGATCGGAAGTCTACCTTCATGGAAAATGAGTTCATCAGGTTTCAGTAGTCTCCTGACAAGCCAAGCATAAAACAAAGAGAGCTGCTGCTCTGCACCCACACGTGTGTGTGCTGCGGTCTTCCAGGAAATGATAATCAGAGGCTCAGGGCTGACCACAGTGCTGTAAGAAATTAAACATGTGATCATCATCAAATACCAAAACATGTCTACCTGTATTATGTTAAGAGCACAGAACCCACAGTCGTAATTTTTTAACTGAAATACTTGGCTTGGAGGCAAAACTGGGGCTTGCCACAAGCATTCTGAGTTCTGAATTACCAAGGTTCAAACCAGCATATTTTGCTGTGTCTCTCCACATGCAGCCCAAATTAGTCCTCCAGTAGGTGCCTGAAAATACCATTTTTCTTCTTGATTGAAATGTTGTAACAGTCCTGTTCTGCACAGAAGATAAGCAGGAAAAATGCATTATGCATTAATGGGATTTGATGGAGTGTGAGCTCAGTTTCTCCAGTGCCACCAGAGACAGAGTAAAATTTGCTTGATCATCTCATGAGCTGAGAATCATTTTTGTTGCAGCGCTGTGAATATAACCCAGCTACAAATGGACAGTAGTTGTGAGGAAAAAACTGTTCATCTGTATGATAGATCAGTGTCATCTGGAATTTAAGAATTGAAAATGCAAGGTCAGAGGGCAGCTGACACTTGATTTTGCTCTCTCTCCTCTATCTGTGGCTTTGATCATGCTACATCTTTCTTTGTGCCTGGTGCTCAAGAGAGTACCCCAGGGTCATGGCCTGTTTCCTTGTCAAGAGGTATAAACCTCCGGTCTAAATATCTGAGGCCCAAGCTTTAGCTGGGGTGGGGCCATGAAAGAAGAGGGGGGAGCATTTCCTTCATGCTTTTCACTTTTCCCACATAACCCAAAGCAGACTAAACAAAACCAGTGTGAAATCTCATGGCTTGATGCTGCTACGGTTATATTTTTTAAGCTGTCATCCGTTCATTTATAGTTATGTTTATTCCCTGGATTTACAGCTTTTTTTTCAGCCTTTTCTTGCAGGGAGGTGCAGGGGGAGGTTGAAACCTTTTGAAAGAGGATTGCAGTAAGCAGTGGCCTGTGATTAAAGCACTGTGTTTTTCCTTGATGCCGCTCCTCCGCAGCAGTGTCACACATGGTAGCATTTAGGAGCCCTTCACAGCTGAGGTGTTTCAAACACTAATGAATGGAAGTTTGGTCGTATAAGGCGGGCAAGCTTTAAGGCAAGCTTTGCTGAATGGTGTACTGTAGTGGCCTGGGAAAGGAAGAGAGTTATAAATTGTGTCAGTTAGCCACCCAGACAAAATGAAGCCATGTGGAAAATCAAATCTATTAAAGTATGAAGACTGTTATAAGCTGTTTTAAGATGGTCATTCTTCAAAGGTCACAGTTGGCTGAGGGAGTGAATTCCTCTTTTTCGTAGATCTTTTTCACGTGCTGTCTTAGGCAATGATGTTCAGTGTTTGATTAAAAAACAGCTTTTCATTGACAGCCCCTTGTATTAGAAATGTTAGTTGCCCCCAGTTCTCTACCCATGTCCTGAAAGGTACTGAACATTTGTTTGAAAAGCAGAATAAGAGCATCACATTTGGTCAGGCTTGCTGACATGGCAAACATGAAGCAGCAGTAGGAGAGGAGAAGACTTCTCAGAGCAACTGCTTAGAATCGGATATGTGCTCAAAATGCTTTCTATTTTCTAGTTGCCCATGTCTGCTGGCCATAAGAGGCCCTTGACAAAGCGTGGCACACAATGCTTTTTCTTGACATCTCCTGGAGTAGAAGAAAAACCTGGCAAGGCAGGGTGTGGGGGATCAGAGAGCAGGGTACCTTCCCTTTCTCCCCAAGGTGGCTTCTTGAGACGTCACAGGAGCTGCAAAGGGCATTTTATTAACTCAAGAGGTAATTGTCAGCTGCATGAGGGATAACTGAACTGGCAGCCTAAGATGAATGGTCACCATGGTATTTATTATTCCTATTTGTGTATTCTAGGAAGAGACTGAAGAAACGTCCTCACAAGAGTCTGCAGAAGAAGACTAGGAGATCACACCATGCAATTTCTACCTCATCAGCAGTTGGGTCTTTTGAAGGGAGAAGACACTGCCTTGACCACTTACTTTCTATTGCCATGGTCTTTCCACTTTTGCCTGGGGGAAAAAAAAAAATCACATAACCTTAAAAAGGATTCGATTAATCATCTTCTTTTGTAATCCCTTCACAGTCCCAGGTCTAGTGAAAAACTGCTGTAACACAAAGGGGACACAGATTAAGGATGCAACTTTTAATTACTGTTTTCTTTTTTCCTAACCTACTAATAGTTTGTTTGAGCTGCTAAGTAAGGGTGAATGGGTCAAGAAGAGCTCCAAATCAGGCTTAGGTCATTGACTGCACTGCGTATTAACAAGAAACTTGTAACATAGTCATTATAATGGGCATTGAAATAGGAAAGGCTGGGTGTGTAACACTTATGCCTTGCAACACTTCCAGCAACCCACTCCCTACTTAGTGAACTCCCTCTTTTAGAACACCAAAGATAGGGGATAGATACTATCCTTTTTCTTTTGTAACCTTCTTGTAGACTTGTACTTGATTTTTTTTTGATTTTTTTTTTTAAGACTTACTATTATTTCGGGGGAAAAAAAAATGAAAGCTGATCTTTTAATTTCATTCAGCTGGTAATCAGAAGAAAGAAATCAAGATGAAAAAGGTACTTTCATTTTGCAAAAGGGAAGAAAGACAAAGATACGTTGTATAGTTACAGATACAAACATATCAGCACAAGCAGTAGTAAACAAAATGAACAGTCCTTATCACCTGGCTAATAGGAAGCCAGGGAGTTGGCTTTCTTAGAGCCAGGAGTTTTCTATGGAAACAAAAATGACTGACACCACTCTTACACCATTAATGAGTAAGTCTTTACTGATAAAAGTGTTTTAAATCATACAGAAAGGTACCTAGAAATTAATCATAAATATATCTGAACAAAAATAATCCAGATTTTTGCTTAGTTTCTACTAATTCCACTTGCCCTGTACCAGTATTTTGAAAGAATTGAATCTTTTCTCATTACTCATCAGTCACAATGTAAGAATGAACACCATGTACCTCAGCTAAGCTCATGCATTACTTTAAGCAATGTATTTTGACATAGGATGGTTCACTGAGCACCTCAGTGCCAGTGGCATTTCTCCATCTTTTCACTCAAAGCAGCACTTTTAGCACCAGATGCAATATTACCCCACTATTCAATACTACCTCTGATTTTTACAAATAACTCAACAGACTGATAAATACATGCTGCTATACACATTCAATGCAGGAAATTTTTACTGGGTAGATAATCATGAGTATCTGCATTTTCCCTTTATTTCTGTTTCAACCTTTTTTGCAGTTAAGGAAGCAATGTCTTTTTTGTGTTTCAGCATGACTATGTGTTTTTCTTTCACTTGGTTTGTTTGACTTTTCTTTTTTTTGTGTGTGTGTGTGGGTTTTTTGGTTTTGGTTTTGTTTTATTTTATGTACTTACTCTATTCTCTGCTAGACTTCTGTGTAATGTACTGTTAACTTGAATATATTTTTGTATTGAATTGCTGATAGATTTGTGAGGATAATTTTCTTCAAGGACACTACATGACAGAAAAAATTTAGCTGTAAAGTTTAAATATTACTGTCCAAGTTTGTACCTCAAATGAATTGTTTAAAGAAATGGACTAATTGATTGACAAAGACCTACCTCCAGACTTTAAATGGAATGAACTTGTTACTTTCAGCATTAGTTCTGAGACGTTTGAAACAGTTAGGACTGCAACTAATCCCTAATTCAAAATTATTTTTGTAAAATAACTTGTGGAAAATGAACACATTTTAAATTACTTTCGTATTAAAAGAAAAAAAAAATGAACAAAAAAAACCTTCAAAGAAACTTGAACCTTTGTAGGTGGGAAGCAACAAGCTCAGCTTTTGCATAATGCAATCACAAATATGTGTTTTTTAAAAAAAAAATTAGTAGATTGTAAGAAAATACTTGACAAGTATTTTCATGTATTTTACACAAATGTGATTTTGTAATATGTTTCAGCCAGATTTATTTTAAATGCTTCTTATGTAGAGATTTTTTTATTCTCCCCTCTCTCACTTTTGTTGTTCTCTCTCTCTCTCTCTCTCCCCCTCCAATTTAATTTTCTCTATTTCTGTTTTGTTTCCCTTCTTCCTCTCTTTCCTAGTCAGTACTTTGTACCATTGTATTAATAACTGGGCCAGGGGTAGTTTCTCAGGAAGGCATCTGTTGGTCTGGCTTTCATATGGAGCCAAATGCAGTCAGAGATAACAATTTACTGCCTTCTTCCAAAAGGCAGTGTCAAGAAATATGGACCTCCACGAAAGACTGTGCAGGGTTCAGTGGTGGAAATTGCTGGGAAAGAGCAGATTGGAATATTATTAACTAGACATGATAATATCAAGTGAAAGAGAAATAATCCTAGCTATACAGTAGCTCTAACAGGCCAAATCCAGTGTCACTTGAAGGCAGTAACAGGAATTTTGCTGCCTTCAAAGGGCATCAAATCAAGCCTTAGCAAGTCCCTTTTGGGTTCCGAGGGGTTTTTTTTTGCATTTTTTAAAACCACGGTATTCAGTGGATGACACAGAAATAATTGCTGTGTGTTTGTCACTCTTCAACCTCTGAGACTTACCACTCTGATGAACCGAATCTTACATTTTCTATATATTGTAGTACAATCAAAACACATTACTACCTCTTAGGGCCTACTATACCTCATTTTTTCAGACTGAAAAATTGCATGTGGCCATTGAGTCAGTGAGAACATCATAAAATTTTTTTATATATATAGTTTATTTTTGTGGGAGATAAATTTTATACGACTGTTCTTTGCTGTCATTGGTCACTGCTAACTATGACTGGACATGTAACTCTTCTACCATTTCTGCAAGAGAGGTGTGTTTGCAGGAAAAAAAAATTGCTTTAAGATGTTGAACTACAGTTTACTTTTCCTTTTGAGTGTCTTCTAACTCTTTGCTTTGTTCTTCACGTAGAGTTGCTGTCTATGATTGTACTTCAAATCGCTTGCTTGTTGAAAATGTTCCTTTAATGGTTTATCACAGTCTGTTCAGCACAATAAACATAATAGCCTCTGTGATCCCCATGTTGCTTGATTCCTAGACTTTTGTCACGGTTCCATAAAATGGGTAATAAAGTTTGGTCACAATGACCAAATTTGTAAAATCTTTGCATGCAAGTAGTCTTTTTTTTTTTTTGTCCCAGGACCATAGGCATGTGCCTGAGAAGTTAATTTGCTGTTAGGGGCCCAGGGGTGGGCACTTAGCAGAGCTACACATCTTATGAGGCTCCCTGAAAGGTGGCACACCCATTCCTGGCCCAGGACTTGCTGTGCTGAGCTAAGGGCTAAACTGTGCACTTGGGGACCACCAATCCTACCCACCAGACAGGGAATACCATAACACAGGGCAGGCTGATACAGATTTTGTTGCCTGGTCTCAGATCTACCTCTTGGAGGTCCACCAAGATGATGAGCCTTCTCTTCTTAGGCAAGATTGCAGTTTACATCCAAGTTCATGGAATTTCCATTATGCAGGCATAAGGTTAGAAAGAGCAGGTACTCAGGGCAGCAGACAGAGGGATATGTCTGGGTACTGTCCGCAGCAAAAATTGAAGAGCTCAGGAAACTATTAAAACTCAGCTGCCCCCAAGATTGTGATAGGTAAGCTGGCAGGATTCTTCTGTCTTCTCTTCATTTGCTCTAAAATGGTCTTGTGGCCTGTTACAGTGAGATTTAAAGTCACAGAGTCATAGAATATCCTGAGTTGGAAGGGACCCGCTAGGACTATCAAATTCCAATTCCTGGGCCTGCACAGAACAGCTGCAAGAATCACACCATGTGCCTGAGTGTTACCCAAATGCTTCTTGAACTCTGTCATGCTGGTGCTGTGGCCACTTCCCTGGAGAGCCTGGGCCTGACCATTCTCTGGGTAAAGAATCTTTTTCTGATATCTAACCTAAACCTCCCCTGACTCAGCTTCATGACCTTTTCTGGAGTCCTGTCCCTGGTCATGAGAGCGAAGAAATCAGTACCTGCCCTTCTGCTTCCCCTCAGGAGGAAGTTGAAGATCACAATGAGGTGTCCCCTCAGTCTCCTCTTTCAAGGATGAAGAAGCCAAGTGACCTCAGCTGCTCCTCACAAGGCTTCCCCTCAAGGCCCTCCTTTGGACACTCTCTAGTAGATTTATATCTTTTTTGTATTGTGAGGCCCAAAATTGCACACAGGACTTAAGGTGAAGCCATACAAGTCCAGAGCAGAGTGTCATCTCTGCCATCTGATAAGGTCTGTGGTGCATATCCATTGGTTCATATTGGCAACCATTCCTCTCTCACCTAAGGGGGTTGTGCAGTTATTATTTCCTGAGATGTAGATTTACACACTTTTTGTGTTCACTCATTTACAGACTCTCTACTCTCAGCATCTTCCCAAGGGCTTCATGACATGCTCCCTTTGGCCTCAGTTACTTGTAAAATAACTAAAATAAGATCACAAAAGAAGCACTAAGTAACAACACCCATTCAGCCCTGAGTCAGATATGAGTAATTGCATTCATCACATTATATGTCCTCTTCTGCTTTGTCACCCTGCTTAGTGGTATTAAAAGATCATGCCAGGGTTCAGTCTTCCTGGTGGTTGTTTTCCCTGTGGTTGCCATCACTTGGCTCTTCCTGTTATTTTATTTTATCTGATGTGATGTTCCAGCTGTAACCCACCCACCTGGTGGGTCAGCCAAGTGGCATAACTTCTGCTACTCCATTCTTAACTCCCCTCTACTTCTTAGTCATTCCTCCAGCTTGTTTCACTCCCACTTTCCTTCCCAGGGCATCTCCCAATAAACTTCTGCATGTTTTATTCCATGGTGAGACTACTTGTGTGTATAAAACTAATTGGCTTCTGCAGGATCAAGGCCTGCATTTGTCTAGCAGCCAAGAGTGCTTTATCCAAGATGCCTGTGGCAGGAGTCATATTAAGTTTCTGGTTTTGCTTTCTTCTGCCATCACATCTCATCCACACAAATATGGGGAGGAATTACTGAAAGCTGGTGCTGCCAGAGCCTTGCACAGCTATTTAATTGTCCGTAGCTCTTTTCAAAACCAAACCATCTGGTCTGGTCATCATTAGAAACAGGACCTAGAGCAATGGCAACAGCATGTTCTCCCAGTCACACGAGAGGAGTCAGATTTGTCATGCCTCACACTTCACCTGAAGCCTGAATGCTTCTTTTCACCCCAGCACCCCTGCATACAAGGATGTAGACTTTTGCCTCTCAATTTTTCCTTTTTTAATGTCCCACCGTCTTTATGATTACATTAATTTTTAAATATACAGAAGTACTTAAGCATTATTATGGTTTAGGAACAGCACTCCTGCTCCTTCCCTCAGGCCCCTCCAGTGAGAGACACAAAAGGCAGAGATTATGAGCTAAGAACAATTTACTGGAAACAGCAATGAGATTAGAAAATAAACATTAGCGT